TTCAGCCGAACAAGCGCCATCTATCGGAAACAAGTAGCCATGCAATAATATACAATAAAAATTTAATTAAACTTTATTCTCGCAGTTTCCGTCAATATTAGTAATATATATATGTTATAAAAATTAATATATATAAACATAGATATATAAAATAGATATAAATCGGGTACCAGCTCCTAACGGAAGGGAGCATAGTTGATCTTTTGTTCTCATATAGATACATAATTGTGAATTAATATTATTTTTATTGTTTAAATAAATTATTAAATATATAACAGAAATAGTTGATATCAAAAGGGTCCAGCTATTAAACCAATAAAAAGATACTTGTAACTATTTTACTTAATTTTACGACTGTTCTTAAGAAGATTTACAGTAGCTCATAAGGATGATAGCTTCGTCTTTTTACGCATATATGAACGATTTTTTGAATTTCTTCTCCTCTACTCGTTTTGAGGTTCTGATGAATAAAGTAGTTACATGTTAAGATAATTTTGATATATTTCTTTGTGTTTTGGATTGGTACGTCTTGAAGTATTTCTGTATTGGAGACACTTGCACTGTTCCAAATTTATATGATGTAACATACTATATCCAAAAGGGTTTAAGCAGAACCTTTAAAGGGTTTCTGTACAGGAGAACAGTTCTCCAAATAGTTCTCAGTATTTTTTTTTCATTAGTTGCAACTGTTTGTCCTTTTTACAGTATCTCCAGGTAAGTCTGAGGTCTGAGGATACTTTTGCACAGATATTTCAGTCACAACGGGGGACTGTAATATTTTTCAGAATAACTTATAAACAGTTTTTTGCGTTTCTCTATTTCAATAATCATTCAGCAATCAATTTTAACTGCACCTGTAGACATTATTAAAACAATATTCAATATTCCTTAATTGCATTTTTTATTACATTATTTTAATATTTAGTTTAAATTGCAATTATATTATTTTAGCAGTAATAAAATTTTTAATATATTACTTTCATATTAAAAATTTTATTTTTATATGTTCTATATGGTATATTTGTTATTAAATATAAAAGAGATTTTTAAAATTTCTAATAATACAATGTTATTATAAATTGTAAACATTACAATTTATAATTGTAATGTTTACAATTATAAATAAAATGCAATTCAAAATAATTACCTATATATAATAATATATAATTTGTCCTAATAATTGGTTTTTAATTTATTTATAAAAACTTGATTGTTCAAATCAACAAAAAAGTTCTTAATTTCAAAGTTTTTGACTTAATAGCTTTTAAAATTTAAATTTAATTAATTTATTTTTATTTCGTTATTTTTTTGTAAATAATTTTATTCTTAAATATTTATTTATGTGATTATAAATAAAAAATATTGTTTTACATTTTGTAGAATAATAAGTGCATAATATTTTATTATTTTATTTTTTGTTAAAATTATATTTTATTTATATGTGAAGGTGCTTTAATTGAAATAGTAAAATAACCTTTACATTTATACTATTATTATTTTTTTTTGAGTAAATGTTGAACGCATATATTTTATATAATTATTGAAACAATTTAAATATCACATAACAACTACTGTAAAATTTATGTAAGAAGCAAAATAGAGTTAAATATCTTAGTCATAAAAGGAATAAAAAAAAAATACTGCACCAGAAGCTTTTTAAATTTATATTATTATATATTTGCTTTTTAAAGTCATTAGAATTATCATTGTTTATGCAGTTAATTAATTAAAATCTTCAATATGTGATAAAATTCTAAAAAAAATATT